GATGTATTGTTGAATTGATGTCTATGCAATTCAGGGGGAGTTCTTGTTGTTTTGTGATGAAGTTTTTTTTTGGTCTAGCTATGAGGTTTTTTTTCCCGCTGTGTGTGCCTCTGATTTGTTCTAGTGTGCTTCTGGTTATCTTGTGTTTTTTCGTTATTCATGCAAAGGTTGTTTTAGCCAAAATTTGCCAAAGGGGGAGATTGTAAGTTTTGTGGTTTTGGATTGGCAGAAAATTTGTTAAAACAGTTTACAGCAAGATGTTGAGATAGATGTCGTGACAAGTTAGTCAAACAACATGATCAATGTGATATTGGGACATGTGGCAGGACATGTTATACCAGAAGTTTAGGGCTGAGACGATTTGGTATTTAAAGTGTGGAGTTTGATAGTATTTTAATTCACACAGTGTCGCAATCTAATGAGGGATATTTTAGGAACTTCTGTCTTGACAATTTTTCTTGTATTTCTTAAAAAGAGTTTTGAAGCCTTTTTAGGAAACTTTATATTCAATTCTTATTTATGTGTAAAAGATCTTGCAGAAGATTTGAAGCTGATTTGTGTTTTATTTAAATTGAAGAGCCCAAACTCATGCTGATATAAAGGTCATTTAAAGAGGAGTTTTAAACCTAATAAAGAAGCAAAGCTGTGTATTGAAAGAAATGGTATTAAAGTTTAGTGTGTATTTGTTATTTGTGATCCTCTCTTATGTCTTTTGGCATCTGAGTTGGATTGTGTTGTTTGTGCATTTGTGAGTCATTCATGTACTCTTTAGGTACTTAAGTTGAATGAGTTTTGAGTTGTAATCACTCATAAACTTTTAAGCAAAGAGTGGATTTTGTGTCATTGGAAGTGTGACTTCTATTATTCATTATTGTTGAGTTTGTCACTGTTGTGTGATTGGTGGGAAGTGGGAGGGGTTTCATATCTAGGATTTCCTAGGTAGAAGTTAGCATGAGTAGTGATTAGGTGAGAAGCTTGTAAATCTGTTAGTGTTTGCTGTGGCTTTGAACTAATACTATTATAGTGGATTTTCTTCCTGGCTTGGATGCCCCTAGATGTAGGTGATGTTGCACCAAAGTAGGTTAAGAATTGACTGTGTTATTGTTTACATTCAAGCTTTTATTTTTCTGCATAAGTGTTGGTTGCTGTCTTGATTCTAGTGTCCTGACATCTGTCTTGACATCTGGTATCTGTGTGCCAAAATTTCAATGCGTGAGATGAATAACGAGTTTCAGGATGCTAGAAAATCATTAATTAGTATAAGGTAAGTTTCAGATACAACATAAGATTGCATATGATTATTTCCAAACTCAATTTACTAGGTTATATTTTCAAAGAGGGGTTAGCTAGTGAAATAAGCAATCGACATTAGATATAATAAACTCAACTAGATGAAAAAAGAAAAAGAAAATAACACCAAACAGAACATCTAGAACAACAACATCAATAAACAACAACAATATCAATAACAATAACGTCAATAAACAACCTCTAGGGTTTAAGGTCTAAACAACAAGAATAACAACATCGACAAAATTAACATCAATAACAACAACAACAAAATAACAACAAAAACTCCAGGGTTCCGAATCTCAACAACAACAACAACAATAGCAGCAACAACAACAACAACAACAATAATAACAACAACAAAAATCTGACAAAAATATTAGTAGTCATGTTTGACGTTCTAGATCTCTGCAGAAGAAGTAAAAGAAAATGATTTGGATCTCTGAAGAAGAAAAGAGAGCCCTAAACACATAACATCTTCATATTGAAGATGTTACGTGTTTATGATTCCTGTTGTTTAGGGCTCTTCGTTAGGGTCCTGTTTGTGTTGTTTAGACAAATGAAACTGAATGCTACAATATATATATATATATATATATATATATATATATATATATATATATATATATATATATATATATATATATATATATATATATATATATATATATATATATATATATATATATATATATATATATATATATATATATATATATATATATATATATATATATATATATATATATATATATATATATATATATATATATATATATATATATATATATATATATATATATATATATATATATATATATATATATATATCAAAGAAACATATTCAGCTTGGTTGGTAAGAAAATCGAGGAGTAAAGTAATGTACTTTTAAATTAAAAACAAAATATTCAAGAATGTGTCACTTTTAATGAGATAAAAACATAAACTAAAGCTGTTGAGATTCGAATCATGTACACTATATATGTTTACCCATCGGTTTTTCAAATAACCAACAAAATTATATTGTATATTTAAAAAAACAAAACAGAGTGCGTTCAGGTATTTAACCTCTGTTTTTTCATTACGTGAGGTGAAATCATCGTCATGAAATGTATTATATGTAGTAGTATTTGGAAAGAATGTCAAGTATGATCATTTAAGTGTCTTTGGTTTTAAGACTTTTGTGCATATCCAAAGGATGAAAGATCCAAGTTGGATGCAAAGTCAAAACAATATATCTTCATCGGCTATGGGAAAGATGAGTTTGGTTACAGGTGGTATGATCTTGTAGAGAAGAAGCTTATTCGAAGCTGCAATGTGGTGTTTATGGAAGACCAAACTATTGAATACCTTGATAAGATAGAGACGACTACACCTAAGAAAGATATTTGTTTGTCTAATGTATTCCAATTCGGTTACGTAGTCATAATCTGGATGCTATTGGTGGTGATGATTACAATGGTGAGCCATATGATTATGTTGATGATCAACAACTTGGAGATGGGGTAAATATTCCAACTAATGATGGTGAATAAGAGAGCGATATGTCACACGATGAGAATCTTGGTGAAGCTCTAGAGTCATCTCAAGTTCACCTTAGGAGGTCTAACAGGCAGAGACAACCTTCTACAAGATATAATTCTAATGAGTATGTGACCTTGACCGATGAGGGTGAATCCGAGTGTTTTCAAGAGGCCATAGAAAGTGATGAAAATCAAAAGTGGTTGGATGCAATGAATGATGAGATGAAATCATTGCATGATAATCACACTTATGATTTTGTGAAGTTGCCTAAAGGAAAAAGAGCTTTGGAAAATAGGTGGATTTATTGAGTTAAACATGAGAGCAACTCTAAGTCTCCAAGATATAAAGTCAGATTAGTGGTGAAAGGTTTTTGTCAAAGAAAAAGTGTTTATTTTAATGATATTTTCTCACCTATTATAAAGATGTCATCAATTAGGAACATGTTGAGTTTGTCTGCTACTCTTAATTTAGAGGTTGAGCAAATGGATGTGAAAACGACTTTCCTTCACGGTAATTTAGAGGAAGAGATCTACATGAAACAATCAGATGGTTTTCAAGTTAAAGGCAAAAAAGATAATGTGTGTAGATTGAGAAATAGTTTATATGAGTTGAAGCAAATTCCAAGGCAGTGGTACAAGAAGTTCGAGAAGAGCGTCAGAGAATCATGTTGGTTCAACACCATACCGCCTTTTTACAAAAAAAAAAAGCTTTGCTACACAAACCACACTTCTAAGCCCTAAAAGTCTATGACCCACCACAAAGGTACTTGTGGAAGCATTCAAATTTTCGCATAAATCGAAATTTGCTAACATTATAGAGATAAAGTATATTTAACCCTTATTATTATTATTATTATTATTATTATTATTATTATTATTATTATTATTATTATTATTAATTTACGCTTTTTAATATGAAATTCAATTTTAATTAATTTATATTATAAATTCTAATTATTTGTACAATATTTTTATTTTTGATGAAATTCAATACTTTTATTTTACCTTGCGGTATTTGCTAGTTTATAAAAATAATATGCATTAAAATTTAATTATACTAAAATATACTAAAATACTATTTAACAAGAAAATTGTAGATTTTATGATTAAAAAAAGATAAATTTAATTAAATTATCTCTCAGAAGTTAATAATATAATTATAAAAAAATTTGAATAAAAGAATGGAAGAATATATATTTTAATATAAGAAAACATGGTAATAAGTTTAAAAATATCTCAAAAAAGAAAAGTGTAATTTTTCTTTTGCAATTTACTCATCATTATATTAACAAATGAAATATATGATAGCTATAGATTATAATATTAAAAAAAATATAATTTATTATTTAAACACAAAAATAAAAATACATATGTTTTCCCATAAAGTGTAATAAAAGGTCACTTAAAAAAAACTTAAGAAAAAGTTATAAGAGGAAACATGTAAGTGAAAATTATAATCATATTTATGGCCAAGTTAAAAGAATTGAATTTGAAAGAGTGACTTCTAGAAAATGGATTTGGGACCCACCAAAAGTGTAACAAGGAATAGAAGAGAAGAGAAGAGAATATAAGAGAAAGGGTGCATGGACAAGAAGAACGTGATTCACTGTTTTACGGTAACACAACAACATCACCACCATTCATCGTATCAGGTTCTTCTTTCTAACTTCTCTGTTTTTTCATTAATGCTATTTCCCTCTTTCTTCTCTTTCTAAGCTATCATTCATTCAGTTCAGCATAATCAATCGAACGTTTTCGTTGCTTTCAACTTATGTTTGATTTTGAATTTCCATTTTACTGTGCTATCTTTTTCATTTTCATGCATAATTCAGTAGCTTTTACAACAATCTTTATGTTTATCACTTTCTATCATACTTATCATCTATAAAACACGGACATCATAAACATCTGACACTTTGAAACCGGTAATAATTTGAAAAAATGAGTAAATTAAATGTAATTGTAAGTGTCTGTGTTGGTTTTAGACACGAATATCACACGGACATGCTTCTTTTCCTGATATATGGGTGATATAGAGCTTATAATGTATGGGATATCATGAACTTCTCTTAAATTGATAGGGAAAGATTGATGTGTAAATGAATAAGGGCAGTGATTGAGGTCATGCACTACCATCATTGAGAAATTGGTTATATTCTTGATTTTCCTTATTTTTTAGTGAGAGTCATGGGATGGTATAGAGCTGCTGCTTCTGGCATACTGAAGCATTCAATTAGGAGAAACCTCCATCGATGTGGATCGTCGTGTTATGCGACAAGGAACATAGTCCTTTCATCAACAAGTAGGAACTTTCAGACAACAGTTTTCAAATCCAAAGCACAAGCTGCATCTGTACCTCGTGCCGTGCCCCTTTCTAGGTTAACCGACAACTTCTTAGATGGTACGAGCAGCGTGTATTTGGAGGAGCTTCAAAGAGCTTGGGAAGCTGATCCAAACAGTGTAGACGAGTCTTGGGACAATTTCTTCAGGAACTTTGTAGGTCGGGCTTCTACTTTCCCGGGAATTTCTGGCCAAACGATTCAGGAGAGTATGCGATTGCTGCTGCTGGTGAGAGCATATCAGGTTAACGGCCACATGAAAGCCAAGCTAGATCCTTTGGGTTTGGAAGAACGTAAAATCCCCGATGAGTTAGATCTCACCCTTCATGGGTTCACCGAGGCTGATCTTGATCGAGAATTCTTTTTAGGGGTGTGGAATATGTCCGGATTTTTATCTGAGAATCGTCCGGTGCAAACCCTTAGGTCTATTTTGACACGGCTCGAGCAAGCTTATTGCGGAAGCATTGGGTATGAGTACATGCATATACCGGATCGTGACAAATGTAATTGGCTTAGGGAGAAGATTGAAACCCCTGCAGCCACTCAATTTAGTCGGGAGCGTCGTGAGGCTATTTTTGATAGGCTTGCTTGGAGTACACTTTTTGAAAACTTCTTGGCCACCAAGTGGACATCAGCAAAGAGGTTTGGGCTTGAAGGGGGAGAGACTCTTATTCCTGGAATGAAAGAAATGTTTGACCGAGCATCCGATCTTGGAGTCGAGAACATAGTTATGGGAATGGCACATAGAGGAAGATTGAATGTTTTGGGTAACGTAGTTCGGAAGCCACTTCGTCAAATATTTTGCGAGTTTAGTGGTGGTGGTTTACCCGTGGATGAAGCCGGTCTCTACACAGGAACAGGTGATGTTAAATATCATTTGGGAACTTCTTATGATCGGCCAACCAGGGGCGGGAGGAGACTACATTTGTCTTTGGTGGCAAATCCTAGTCACTTAGAAGCAGTTAATCCACTCGTTATTGGAAAAACTCGAGCAAAGCAGTATTACTCAAATGACGCCGAAAGAATGAAAAACATGGGTGTTTTGATTCATGGAGATGGTAGTTTTGCTGGACAAGGTGTAGTCTATGAAACCCTTCATCTTAGCGCTCTTCCGAGTTATACTACAGGTGGAACTATACACATCGTATTCAACAATCAAGTTGCGTTTACAACTGATCCAAAGTCAGGAAGATCTTCACAATATTCCACTGATGTCGCCAAAGCAATATCTGCTCCAATCTTTCATGTGAATGGTGATGACGTGGAAGCAGTTATTCATGTGTGCGAACTTGCTGCAGAATGGCGTCAGACTTTTCATTCAGACGTGGTTGTTGACTTAGTATGTTACCGTCGCTTTGGTCACAACGAGATAGATGAACCTTCTTTCACACAGCCTAAAATGTATAAGGTTGTCTCTTTTGTTTATTATTGTCTTATTCTTATTCTATTCGTATTGCTTTTGATAAGTTACTTATATTTTCAACTTTCGGGATCATGTATAGGTCATCCGAAACCATCCATCAGCACTTGAGATTTATCAGAAGAAACTTTTGGAATTAGGAGATTTAACTAAAGAAGACATTGATAAGATACACAAGAAGGTAACATCAATTCTAAATGATGAGTTTCTGGCCAGCAAAGATTATGTTCCGAAAAGGAGAGATTGGCTTTCAGCGTATTGGTCTGGTTTCAAGTCACCTGAGCAGCTTTCACGTATTCGGAACACCGGGTATATTTAATTTAATGTAAATGTTGTTTGAGTCTTTCAGTTTGTGGTATAACAGATGAAATCTATGATCAATCGTGTGCAGGGTGAAACCGGAGATTTTGAAAAATGTTGGGAAAGCAATCACTGCCTTACCTGAAAATTTTACTCCTCATAAAGCAGTGAAGAGGATTTATGAACAACGTGCCCAAATGATCGAAAAAGGGGAAGATATTGACTGGGGTTTTGCAGAGGCACTTGCTTTCGCAACATTGATAGTGGAAGGCAACCATGTTCGTTTAAGCGGCCAGGACGTTGAAAGAGGAACGTTTAGTCACCGTCATGCAGTAGTTCATGATCAAGCAACTTGGAAGAAATATTGCCCCTTTGACCATGTTGTAATGAACCAAAGTGAAGAGATGTTCACTGTTAGCAATAGGTAATTTTCTTCCTTAACATTTGAAACATGAATTCACAACCAAGTAACAATTTGATATGCTATGCAGCTCGCTTTCTGAGTTTGGTGTTCTTGGGTTTGAATTGGGTTACTCAATGGAAAATCCTAATTCATTGGTGATCTGGGAGGCACAATTTGGTGATTTTGCCAACGGTGCTCAAGTCATATTCGACAATTTCTTGAGTTGTGGTGAGTCTAAATGGCTCCGTCAGGCCGGTCTTGTTGTGTTACTTCCACATGGTTATGATGGCCAAGGCCCGGAGCATTCAAGTGCGAGATTGGAACGCTTTCTTCAGGTGCTATACTATAAATCTATGTTCTGATTTTCTCGAACTTCTTTAAAGCATTTAATCTTTCTGCGTTCATCTTTCAATTTTACGTGTTGTAGTAATCAAATGGCGTGTGTCTGTTGCTTTCTTTGCAGATGGCTGATGATCATCCTTATGTTATTCCTGAGATGGATCCTACTCTTCGAAAACAAATTCAAGAATGTAATTGGCAGATTGTGAATGTTACAACTCCTGCAAATTTTTTCCATGTTTTACGGCGGCAGGTTTGTAATTAGTATAATAATCAATTAATGTTAGCTTTGTCACTTGAAGTTTTATCGTCGAATTTTCTCATTGTTGTTTTGTGTTTTGTCGCAGATACATAGAGAATTCCGTAAACCTCTCATTGTAATGTCCCCTAAGAATCTGCTTCGCAGTAAGGTTTGCAGATCAAATTTATCTGAGTTTGATGATGTCCAAGGACATCCAGGTTTTGATAAACAAGGAACCAGATTTAAGCGCCTCATAAAAGACCAAAACAACCACGCAAATGTCGAGGAGGGTATCAGACGTCTAATACTATGTTCTGGAAAGGTTTACTACGAACTTGATGATCAACGAGCAAAGGTAGATGCAAAAGATGTTGCAATATGTAGGGTGGAACAGCTTTGTCCTTTCCCTTATGACCTTGTCCAACGAGAACTCAAACGATATCCAAGTATGTCTGTTCAAATTGTTCTTAAGCATCATTGAATTTTTTATGACTGGACATTAATCATGTTAAGTCTTCTGTGCTAAATATTTTACTTTGTTTTGTTTGTGCAAGACGCTGAGATTGTTTGGTGTCAAGAAGAACCAATGAACATGGGTGGATACACTTATGTTTTACCGCGACTTATAACTTCAATGAAGTCATTAGGTAGGGGAGGTTATGATGATATCAAATATGTCGGTCGGGATCCGTCTGCAGCCACAGCTACTGGTTTCCTCAAGGTTCACCATAAGGAGCAGACTGAGCTAGTTGAGAAAGCCCTTCAAAGTGAACCAATCAACTTCCCTTACTAAGGTTCTGTGCATGTTTGTTATTCCTTTGGAGAAGAATGAAGCACTTGATTTGGAGGGTAGCTAAAATTCTGATTTTTTATATAGTTCTTAAATACACTTTTATTGATTTGATGTAAGAATATTTAATAATTAAATAAATAAAATGACTCGTATAAAGAGGTATTATTTAAATAACACGAAGAGATGTTATTTAAATAAATATGAAAAGGTGTTATTCAAATAACATGAAAGAGTGTTATTTAAATAATAGTGTATATTGGTATATTTGTAAAGAATACACAAAAGGCGACATAGGGTTCACCAAAATCGGAGTTACTAGCTGTCCACCTATTGCCGCTGCTCCGGTCGGGGTGATGAAGAGATCAATCTGGCGCTCTCATCTGGATTTTCCGCGGTCTCGAGGAGGGACTATCCTAGTGCCCACTTCTGATGTTGAGATTCTTGGAAATATACAAAGGGCGTCATGCACTCTAAGCGCTTCAACTCATGTCTTTTTTACTCGGCCGGAACAAATAGAATCCAATAGAATGGAAAAGATAATCCGTGTGAATATTTATGTATTCTAGAAGGATCCTTCTGAAATTATATAAAGTCCGAAAGAATCCTTCGATTAAATGATAAAACCGACATAAAAGGTATTTGGAAAATAGATGGAAGTGGATTAAAAATTTATCTTTTTATTCTATTAACAAAGCAATTAATAAAACTTGCAGATGAGATAAAGTTTAACATTCGTATAATATGCAGAGAAATTAGGTAGTTTGTCATTAAGCAGTGTGACTAGTTTGTTAACTCCCTAATAGTTTTATTATCTATACTAAACTCTCAAAAGCTAATAAATACTGTGATTTGGTAACTTGCAACAATCCAAAATCCATACAATTTTCAAAATTGACCTTAATTTGAGCATGAATTCATTTGCAAAATGGAATATTATGCACATAGTTAAACCTTAATGCTCTGTTTTCCTCATACATACTTGAAACTCTTTCTTTTAAGAACTATTCTAAGCATTTCTTCACTTCTACTACTACCATTACTATTTACAATTAAGTCACACTCTGTAACGAATTGTTATGCAGTGACCCAAGCTACCTTCATTTTCACAAGAACATCTATCATTGTTGCTTTTCAAATACATTCCACTATTTCCTGCGAACTTCAACTTCTTCAGTACAGCTCCTCCACATGTGACAGTGATTCTACCACTCAAATTGTTGTTCTCCAAGTTGATCTCATCAGCAAACATCAAAAGTAGCCAAAATTCCGTAGGAATAGGACCATCAAGGTTGTTGTTATTAAGCCCAAGATAAGATAGACTTTCCAAATAAACACCCATTGAAGCTGGGATTTCACCAACCAAACCCATTTTAGAGAATCCTATTTTTTCAACACCACCAAGTTTTTCCCATATTTCCGGAATTCTTACCGGAGAGTGTATTCCCACTTAAATAAACTTCCTTCATTTTGGAAAATTCTCCTAAGAACAAAGGGACACCAAACTTAGCAAAACTGTTAAAGCTTAAATCAAAATAGTCCAAGTTTTTCAAGTGAATAAAACTCTCGGGTATTTTACAATGAACACTATAAAAAAAATTGCATTTAGGTAGGGGTTTAACCCCTCACTAAAACAAAAAATCCATCACAAAACATCAGTTTGCGAGGGGATATGATCCCTAGCTAATCAGGACATCGCAAATTAGTTGCTAGAGGATAAGTCTCTCGTAAATTACAATGAAAAAATTCCAACTTGCTACGCTGCATACAATAGACACATACTAGTGTATAACTAGACATGTCAGATATTTGTTAGGGGATAAACCCCTAGCTAAATCACCTGCGTTATGCATTTAGTGAGGGGTTAAACCCCTAGTCGTTTGTGTCAGGCTTTTGTGAGGGGTTTAACCTCCTCATCTTCCTCGTCTGTTTCTCCAACACCTTGATTCATATGCGAAATCACAAATTGTTCAAATTTCAGCGTGTACTCATTTGCAATTCGCATTGCTTTCTCATACTCCGTTGTTTTCCTCCTCAATTCTTCCTCCATCTCTGCTTGTCTTCTCCTAATTTCCTCCATCTCTACTTGTCTAGTTGCTGCTTCGCGTGCTGCCTTGGTCTGCGTCAAATTTCTCACAGTTTCAAGCATATTAGCGGTTAATATAGGTAGATGTGATGCAATAACATACAACCTCACAGTATCAAACTCATTATCATAAAACAACATACAACATCTAACGCAACAATCAATCTTTTTCACTTTTAGTCCCAACTTCAACACTATTCTCTTCGAATCATAATAACTTGTAGGCATGTTTTTTTTCACAGGAGTCGCATCTAAAATTATTTTTGTAAAAAATTTCAAATACTGATCAGGAACATTCTAATTTGACTTAACAACCAAGAGTCTCACACACATGGATAACATGGAGTCAAAAGACCTCTCAAACAGTGGTATATTTATTTCTTTCAACAATTGATAAAACTTTTGTGCTTCCTCATTCGGGAGCTCATCTGCAACAAAATCTTGAGGTTCATCATAAGTCACATTTATCCCTAATGCATCACCAACCAAATCATCTATGAGATTAAATTGTTCCTGGTTTTACAAATGTGGTTGACTGCTTGATGCCTCTCTACCTATCTCAACTCCAACATGTATTTGACTGCTTGATGCCTCTCTATTCATCTCTGATAGTATTTCTCCATTAGAATAACACACCCAATAATTTGGCCTAAAACCATCTTTTTCCAAGTGGCGTTTCACTTCATTTGGGTCACTAATTATATTTCTTCAACCACACCTTAAACACGGACATCTTACCCCTCTTTCCCTTCGACAACATTCTTCAGCAAACGCATATGTAAGAAACGCATCAACTCCTTCTTTAAAATGTGGTTTAACCCCACGTCTTCTTGGATACGTTCTATCATACATCCAACTACGATAGAACTGATAATATTTCATACTGCACATGTGTATTATTATTCATGTTTAAATTTAAATTTAAGAAAAGGAAAATTGATCTATTGACAAACATATGACTATATTAATTGATCTAATTAACATATCATATAAATCTAAGACATACTTTTTTTATAAAAAAATCTATATTTTTTAAAACAATACATTATTAATGTTTTCAAAATAGAATAACTTACAAATTATATACATAAATTCATATTTTTAATAAATATATTACCAAAATATATTACATACTTTCTAAATAAAAAAATATATGAATATATATAACCTATTCTTTTATAAAAATATATAATATATTTCTTAAATTAATTTTATAAATTTATAAACAATAAAATATACAACAATATTATATATTCTGTCTCTATAAATTTATATACTTTATAACATATTTTAACTTACAAATTGTATACATAAATATTATATAATATGTTTCTACAAAAATGTATGCTTTTTAAATAAAAGTGTATATTTTCTAAAAAAATATATACTTTCATAAAGTATTATATAATATGTTTCTACAAATATATTACTATAAAATATATTAATATTTTAAAAAATATATACTTTCTAAATAAAAATATATATTTTTTAAATAAATATTGTATATATTACAAACTATATACTTTATATAAAAAGTGTATATTACTTAAATATATTTCAAAATATATATTTTTATAATTTAACTCATACTTTTTAAATAAAAGTGTATATTAATATATAATCAATTCTTTTATAAAAAATATATATAATATGTTTTCAAAATTAATTATATAAATACTCTTTTATAAAAATATCTAATATATACGATCAACATTTTAATCATTTATTAATATAAAAATATTAAGTTTTTTAATATAAAAATATTTTGTTTTTTAAACAAAACTTAATATACAATACTATTTACAATAATATGTTTAATATATAATCTATTTTTTAAATAATATTTTTTATAAATATATTACTAAAATCTGTTTTTAAAATATTATTTAATATATAATCTGATTTTAAAATCTGTTTTTAAAATATTATATAATATATATTTCGACTTTTAAAATCATTTTTATAAATATTTTAATAAACTTGTTTTATAATATATTTTAAGAATCTGTTTTACAAATATTAATATATAATCTGTTTTATAAATATATTTAATATATAATTTATTTAATACATACTATATAATCAGTTTTTTTAATAATATACACCAGCATCACACCAAAATCAAGTATATAAGTATCAATTACACCTAATTTTGAGAAAAAAATAATAAATGTGTACCTAATGCTCCCTAAAATTTAAAGCTCATTCTAAACCAAAAATTATATCTTTGATGTAGAATAAATTGAAATGGTAGGAGGGTGGAAGAAGGAGGGTGGAAGAAGAAGGGTGGAGAAGACAAAGCGAGCAAGGAGCAAGGAAGAGAGAAAGAACAAGAAATCTGTAATAATGAGACAAATTTTGAGAATTTAATGGGTGGTGTTTGCGAGGGGAACTCAACGATTGGTCTAACGGTCATATTTAGTGAGGGGCAGCCCTTAGCTAAATATTGATGTGTCAGATGCTTTGTTGCATCGGAGACGCATGGAGACAACTACTGGCGACGGAGTACCCCACGCAGAAAATGAAAATCACATTAGCGAGGGATTGTCCCTAACCATTGATAATGTGTGGCAGTCCCTCTTCTGTTATGTAGCAGCAAGAATAAATGCTTTTCAGAGTGATTTGATTAAAGTAATTAACATGATAAGGGGATACCCCTCGCAAAATGTGTATCTTAAATTGGTGAAGAGCTGACCCCTTGTAAAATGTGTATCTTAAATTGGTGAAGGGCTGACCCCTCGCAAATTGTGACCATTGCCAATATTTTTGGCACTGTCCCTTACCAAGTGTAACTTTTAAAATTCAATTTTTTTTTACAAAGGATATTTTCTAGATATTATTTTATATTATTTTTTCTTATTTTTTATGCAGTTAAGCTTCAAACTATTCAATTTTTTTTAGTGAGTGGTTTTACTCCTAGCCAATGCCTTTAGTTTGCGGAGGTAGGGGAAAGAGGTGAAGAGGAGAGGGTTGAGAGTGGCGTTTGGGGAATAGGGTGGGATAGGGGTTTGATGGGAAAGGTAACTGAAGTTGAGTTCGGCAATGTGTGATTGTTGACGATGAGGTTCGCAAAGGACGAAGGATGGGGTTGAGATGCAGAGGTCATTGGGGAAGAGGGTGGTCTAAGGAATGGTTGGGTTGAGGGAGTTGAGAAGATGGTAGAGTGCATTTTGTTGAAGTGGGTCAATGGAAGGTTGGTTTTCAGGGATCAAGATTGGGAGTATGAAGACGACCCATATCATTGCAAATGTTGTCATGGAGTCGTCCATTGGAAGAGAAATGGTGGTTGGTTGTTGAGAAAAGTGTTGTTTGTTATTTATGCCGAGTGAGTGTGAGTAGAGTACTAGTAGTGGTGGGGGCGCAGAGAAGAAGCGGAAAATATGGGATAGGTGGAAGAAAAAGACGAGTGTGTGATATTGTTGTGAGTGTGTGCGAAAGATGTCACAGAAATTAAATTTGTCGTTTTGTGTGCAATCCATTGCAAGAGGGATGACACTATCGATCGTTCACAGTGCAGTGCAACTGCAACAAATATCCCTTTCCCCTCCCTTTCTAATTATTTTCAAGTATTACGTAGGCAAATCAAGAGGTGGTAAAGGTTATTATATATGGTAGCTTTTATAGATAATTTTTCTATATGTTAAAATTTACTTTATTTATTAAGGTATAAATATGAAGAGTTTGATATAATTTTTTAAAAATCTTACCTGTCATCAAACTGAATGAGACTATTGAGATTCTATTATTCGAATTACTTAATCATTAATTAAATTGTACGACTAAATCAAATAATCCGGTTAAATAAATATCAAAATTTAAAATATTATAATTTTATAAATTAATTATTTAAATTCAAATTCTAAACATAAAATCTTTTTCTAACATGAATTAAATAATACAAAATATTACAAAATAAAAATTCAAATAGTACAACATATAAATAAATTTCAGACAAATTTTATTTTCAACATATACTAAAGTCATCTCGAATTCATGATTTTTATAGTACAAAATACAACATAACTGAAATTTTGAACAAAGTTTATTTTCACCAAAACTAAATAACAAAATTTAATTTCAAGAAAAGTTGTTCTAAAAAATGCTAGAAAGAGAGAGTGTATTTTAAAAAATAATAAAAACAATTTCTTAAACTTTTATTGTTTTCCAAATCAAACACCAGCTCAGTCCAACAAACACTTGAAAGTTGAACCTCATCTTCAGCGGCTGCTATATAAAATCCCTTTTACTATTACCAATTATTTGATTCGGAACTTAATTAATTATATCCAAATTCGACCTTGAAAGTTAATTTTTTAAACATAATAAATTGTTGGTAACAACTACCTTGAATTAAGTAAATAAATAAATCATCCATTAGCCTATAGTGATAACAGTCATGCATTGCTTACAATACAACATTTAGTCTAGTCAAAACAAAAGCAAGTTCAACACATACACCAAATTATGGATCATATTATATCTAAATAATTTCGTATTTGCTTGCGTCACACCAAATCACAAGTTTAGTGTGAAACTAGTTGTTCACACATATTACACACTCTTACATATTTTCAACAATAAAACCACCCTTTATTATAAATATATCATATCCTCAGTTTCACAACTCTCATACACTTCCAATATTAATACACACCTTTCTAATTTCTTGTTCAAAAATTTCATTACTAGTGATGAAGAGAGAAAGAGAAAGTGATCATAACAATACTAATAGTATAACCATGGCTAAGTATTTGATGTATCTTTCTGGTGGAGCTCAACAATTTGATCAAATGAGTTACTCTTCAAATTTCAACAACCGCGTGTTCGAGTGCAAGACATGTAAACGACAGTTTTCGTCGTTTCAAGCGTTGGGAGGACACCGTGCGAGTCACAAGAAACCGAGGTTGATGGAGATGAATAGTGATGGCGACGGTGGAATATTTACAACAACAACAAAGGCTAAAACACATGAATGCTCAATTTGTGGATTGGAGTTTTCAATAGGTCAAGCTTTGGGTGGTCACATGAGAAGACACAGAAGACTTTTGAATACTACAAATGGAAATACGCACGCTTTTATCGATAATACTGCAACCAATAGTAATAATAACAGTGATTGCAGTACCGTTGATAATAGTACTGATACTAATTTAGCGAAGAGGAAGAAGTTGAACACGAAGAAATTTTTGTCTCTGGATTTGAATTTGACACCTTTAGAGAATGATTTGAAGATTTTGAAGATTGGACAATCAACTCCTAATTTGGTGGATTGTTTCAATTGAATTAACTAATTACTATATTAGTCTACCATATATATTTAGGTGGTTAAGTATTTTTGTTCCATTTTGTATTTTACTTTACTGCACGTAAGTAAATTGTTATGTTCTTGGATATACATAAGAAATTCTTGCTATTGTTCTCTATTTTTTTTTATCAAACTCAATTTCATGTTATTGTGACAATTTAGTTAATACTACTACAAGTTGTTGGTGGCTGAAATACGTTATTATATATATCTAGAAGTAGAAAAATAAGTCATTTTCTTAATCTAAAACGTGGAAAAGTGATTTTACATTGAATATGATACTACAAAGTCTCTGAACATGTAAAGTCTATTAATAGTATTATGAGTATACTTCACTGTCATCATCGTTGGAGTTTCTTTCACAATAGCAATTTCCTTTATTTTGTTTAGTCAAGTCACATTACAGACTTTGCATCAATACCACAATTTTAGTACTTATATGATCGAATTGCACATGATCTTTTACCAAAATTTACAACTTTTCAAGAAAACTCTTGTGTTTTATTCTAGACCTTGTTTTTTTGGCATGATTTTGATTATTAGATATCTTGACAAACAAGCTTTAATAAAAAGTAAAATCATTTGAACATTCTCTGGAAGGGATAACGAATGTGTGCACGCCACTGAAACATGTTTGAGGTAATTAAAATGTAAATGGATTTCTAGAAATACTGATTAGTCTGGTCTTTATAAACTGCAACTTGATGTATTTTATTTCTTGGTCAAACCTTAGAAGACATTAACCATCTACACATGTTTCACACACACACACAACTACTTAAATTTTTGAAGGAGGGGGTATTCTAGTAATTATATTATAATTATATACAAATTATATAAGCTATGTGTTAATTTAGATAACAAAAATATGAAAGCAGAAATGATATATTTGTTAACATGCAATCTATTTTCAACTGGTTTGTTGGTAAAGTAATTTTTTATTGTTCAGTTTTCCATCACTATTATATGAATATATAGGTGTTTTGAGGTGGTATATATGTACGTAATTGATGAGCAAATCTGAACACAATATTCCTAGCAATTGTAGTCTTGGCAAATGACACAGCACACGTAGTACTATTATATTATTTATAGTATTACCATATTCATAATGATAATTATAACTTGTGCTCAACTTTCTACAAAATATCAGTGGAAATTATATCTGTTTTCTATTGTCATCATTTGCTTTAACATGATTCTTATATCTATTAAGTAACTTATGGCTAACCACATCATGGGTGTGAACCAACCCACATTTTGATTCTAGTTTATAATCCAAATTTTGTTTTTATAAAATGGATTTATCTTTGTGAAATGATTTCATATCCATTCAAACCTAATTTAAAATTGTATTTTTTAATTAAAAATCGGTTTATATATTTGCTCAGGAGTTATATTTCATAAATTCAGATTAGTATTGTCATACCCAAATTTTGACCTCTAGATTCCATTATCATTTTAGGTGCATCAAGCATATGTTATTTAACTCTAACCTCTTTCAAGTTAGTCTTTGTCAAGATGAAGATGAATTAGGGTTTCACACTTTTAAAATTAAGAATCATGTGAACTGATCAGTCAAGGTTTTGGATTGATCTTCTACACATCAAGTCTTCACATCATCAAGAGGTTCATATCTTACCAAGAACAAGTGCTATTTGAGGTTGTTACCAAGAGAATTGAAACAGTACTGTGCAAAACCCTGATTAGGGTTTCCAGTTGAAAAAGTCAACTGTAGTTTGACTTTTGGTCTAAATGGGTTTCCAAAGCTTGGATTATGGTCCATGATGTTTCTGTGACTTATTGAAGTCCCCTCAAGAAGTATGAAAGGTTCAAAAAACCCTAGAACACTAAGGATCGATCCTGAAGATTTCAACTGTTCGGTTTGTTTGTTTGGAAAGTCAACTATTTGACTTTTAGTGTTTTGACCCTTAATTGAATCAATCAAGATTTCCAACATCATTTTCTACCTAACTAGTGAGTTTGGTGAAGATTTAATCAAGAATTGATGGACAACTTATGAATCAAGAAATTAGGGTTTATGAAAAACTAATTACAAGCTTATTTGGAATGGTCATAACTCTCAAACCACACATCCAAATTGAGTGATCCAAAGCTGGTTGGAAAGCTCTTGAGAAATACTACAAAATTCCTCTAGAGGATTGATGTCTAAAAATGCATAGATTTTGAGTTATGAGCTCATCAAGTTGTGAAGGATTTCCACACTTAGAGAAATTTCTTGTTGTTTGACTTGTAAGTCAAGTTTTGCAGCCAACTTCATGAAGATTTTTGACCTAATTCCTTTTTCGAATATGAACTTTGGGCAAACATAAACATTGTAGATCATATTTTGGGATTTTTAAAAAGTAAAAGAGCATTTTCACAGCCTTTATGGTTATGGAGAATCGAAGAGAGCAAGTTAGGGATTTTTCACGTCACAAATCCAAGTTCAGCACTTGTATTTTGATGCATAAACCACTCAAACCTCTTCTAATCACTTACTTAACTCATTCTATGATGTTTAGGGGCTTAATTGATGAGGCTATAATGGATTACCACGAGCAAAAACCAGAAATTGGATTATTGGATTTGTTTATTCAAGCAAGTGGATGCAAGTGGCAAGGAGAGAGAAACTTTTTGCATTTTCTACTACACCTCAGCTACTACATCAGCTACTCTCTTTTCTTCACTTCATGTCAACTATTTGCAGGCTATTGATGATGTTGAAACACATATGAAGGTTGCTAAAAGAAATCCCAAGTTGGATTTGCTCATTTTGCCTCTAAAAGGGGCAAACTTGACATGTTTGCACAATCTGCCCATACCTCTCATTCTCCAAGCTTGCCTATAAATAGAACACACTCCTAACATCCAAAAAAACCAGAATCAACTAGAGACCAATTTGAATCTCTCTCATTTCTCTGATCACCATTTTCTTGCAAGTGGTAGAAGTTGTTTCCTTGTGAAGAAAAAACTGCCTTGCAAAAACTCTGCCGCAACTCAATACAACCACCAAACACTTGAACTAACACCTCAAACACATCACATATGATGCATTGAAGTTGTCCAAACCCTCACATTCACCAGAAAACCTCATATTCCAAAAGTCAACTCTCATACCTTGAAATTTTGATTTTTCTGCATCTTCATAGACCAGAACCAAACCAGCCATTTTCCAATAATTCTAACACTTCAAAAACTCTCCATATAAGTTATTTAAATTGTCTATGGCATCACAAAACTTCTGTAACACCATTTCCTAGAGTTTCACTTTGAAGCTCTTGGTGTTTTCTTGCATAAAAAAGCATTTTGCCAAGACAATGATCTTGGAGGAGTTCTCATTATTTGAACACCTTATTTGGAGCATATTGGAGTTGCTTGGATCATCATCCATCAACTGGTTTTCTTATTTGGTGCATTGACTTGAAAAAGCTACAAGAGGTAAGTGTTCAAACTTGCTACTTTTAAGATCATGTTGAATATTGATGTACACTGATTATGAACATGCTAGATACACTTTATAGGTCATGTTTGAACCATTTCTCGCTCATAAACTTGGGTATTCATGAATGTCCCTTTGGTTTGGCTTGTTAGCTTACTCTAAGTGTCATTTAAATATGCAATTTGTTGATTCTGGTTAGGCATAAATAATTGGTGTTTGTAAACATCATTTATAGGTCAGATGTGACATGTTTGATCATTTGGTTGATGCTGAATTGGTACATTTCTGTCTGTTACTTTGCTCTTGCACAAACTTGTTATTTTTTCCACTACACATGTCATCTGTTAAATTAGCTTGTCTATTGATTTATGATGCTTGTAAACACTCTCTATATGTCTCATATGTTGTATTTGAATCATTACTTGCTGCTTAGAACATGTACATTGGACTGTCACATTGCTCTTGCACATAACATGCCTTTTTCAATGATGCTATCTAGTTTTTTACATAGTGCATGATCTGAGAAAACCACCACCACCATTTAATTCCTTGTGAAAAAATACACAATTTTCTTTTTTATTTCATCCGATTTGGTTAAGTTTTGAGTGAGTTATGACCCTTCTTGCAAAAATTTGCCTTGCCTTGGTCAAGTTGCTTTGTTTTTTGCCCAGGTTTTGTGCCTAGTTTTCAAATGTGCATAACTTCTTTGATTTTTATTATTTTGATACCACTCTTTTTTCACTATGCTCCTTAATATGTCTAGTTTCAATGTGTTAAGAAAGAATTCAAAAAAAAATTTGAAACACTTTGATCCACTTGAATGACATGGTCCTTTTTAGGGTTTTCTTTGGTTTTCATGAACTTTCTTGACATAGTACTTGATTTTTCTTGTAAGATTGATCTTGGATGAATCATTGTTAAATGTATAACATGCTTATATGTTTGAAAACATTTGGATCTTTTGCTTTACCATGATTATACTTGCTTTGGTGAATGCGTGAATGTGAAAAGTATGCCTTGAAACTTCTTTGTGAACCATGATATGTTTCTTGATATTGTAACCTCATGAACATGATCCTTCACCCCCATCTTACTTGCTTATGTGTCTTGTTAGAACCATAACATGTTTAGGGTTGTTTCTTGCCTTGAATGTTACCATGAATCTTGTTTATCTTTCCCTTTGTGAAGTTTGAATCCATGCTTGAATTGTTGTTACTTTTCTTGCCTATCCATGATTGAGTCATCAATATGTCTTGAATATAATTAAATGTGTTACATTTATCTTTAATGTATTCATATACCATGTTTGATTCAAGTTGTAACTTGTTTTCATGAGTTTTGTTTGAATATCATTGATGAAAATGTTGTTGTTACACATGTTTCATGCTTGCCCTTGTTGGTTGTTACCTTCACGATCTTTGAACATTGTAATGTTAAATCATAAAACCTTGGTTATTACCATGATTTTTGTGTTCAATTTGTTAATTGATCCTACTTGTTTATATTTATCCTTATCAAGTTTGTTTCCCTAGTGT